TCCAACAAAAATCTCTCAAATAATGCATATCGAAAGAGTGAATATCAGTAAATAATACAGTTAAATATCCCTCTATAAATATGTGCATTTTAAGATAATTTTTAATATTCAACTTACTATGTGGACATAAAACGTCACAGATGCGAATATACATTGTCAAATATTTGACTGTATATGCAGTATATAAGCATGTATTCATATAGCATACACAGAGGTTTTATTTCTGTGAGCATCCTTCTGTGAAACGAGAGAGCTAACTGAAGGCAGAGCATGGATTACTCAGTTGGAAAATCCTAATTGTCAGTTGACTACTCTAATTCAAGCATTTAAGGCAGAGTTAGTTGGCAGGTTTGCATTTACCACTCCCCTTTCTGACTGCAAGAACAGAGGTAGTGAATGCCTTGAGTTTTCCAGATCAGAAAACATTGAGAAAATAAAGAAACACTTAATTTTTCCAGCATATAAATTAAGACTTGTGTGCATAATCTACTCTGAATGACTAGTTGATATTTTATTGAATTTTTAAAACAGTCTTGTCCAATAAATACGTGATCCTCAGATGACAATCTGAGCTTTCATAGTTTTGGTGCTGTCTCCTCCATCTTTGTCTGTCACCTTCACTTTGATCATCATGAATTCTTAAAAAAAAAAAAAATTTAAAAAAAACCACATTAGTTGAATTGTAACCATTGCTGATTTTATGTCACGTTCAATGATGTATACAGACACGAATGCGCATTCATCCACACACATACTTGGCATTGCTTCTAAGACATGGGATCTATCACCCAAGTTACTGCTTGCTAATAAGTTACATTTCTTTTGCACTCTAGTAACTGCATACTTTACTAATTGCAAATGCGAAGTAACTCATGTGGGCTTTGATCCGTTTCACTGAACTTTTCCCTTTTTCAGCACATCTCAATGTGCTGAAAGCATTCTCCCAAGCATCAGTGCTAAGTGTTGCTCAAATGTCTTGATCACACATCTGAGCCCCACATCAGCAAATGATGATCAGCAAATGATTTGTTTCCAAGATGATGCATTGGCTCAAGATTGCATAGGCTGATGTATTGGCTGTGTTGTCAGGATTTCTTTGTGTTGAACCTGTTATTTCTTTTGTATCACTATGGCTACAACTAAGTGCTAAGGCAGGTCTACCTTTTTGCCCACTCTACATCTCTGGTTCTCCCATCCAGATTATAAAGTGATGGGATAAAGAACATTGCCATTTCTTCTCCATCCATATGCTGAATTTCCTTTTACAGGGGAATAATGTGGGAGACAGTGATGATCTTATGCAGTGTACAGTGAGGAAGGACAGAGGTAGGATGTTCCACTGTTGGGTGTCAGTTGGGACTTGTGACCATGTCCTGCAGTATAATGGGACACGTTGTGGGGAATGAGATTGTTCACCTTCCAGCATTTCTGATCTCTGTAACAGAAGGGGAAACAATAATTATCCATTTATTAAGATGGGGAAAATATTCCAACAGCAAAAGTGGCAGGTACCATAGAAAAGCAAGATACATAAGAATATATAGTTACCTGCAAGCTGAAATATTGGGTCAAGCAATGTTTTGGAGTTTCACAAAACAGTTTATTTATATGGTCTGAGGAACAGATGTGCCAGAATGCAGAGAGAGATATTTTAACTCAAAAAGACCAAGAAAAATATGAAATTCTGTGAACATAATGCCATAACCTTGGTTGTGAGCTGATGGTTTCAGTGTAAATAACTTTTCTTTTGAATACAGTTTTCTTCTTCACTTTCATGGATGTTCTTAAAGATAACAGTTATAAATATCTCCATGATGGACCATGATGTTTCCCTGGAAATTTGAGAGAAACCATTTGATAGGTGTGCAACTTTTGAAGCTTGTTAGAGTTTTTGACTGTTTTTTGATAAATGCATGCTACATTTCCCAGCTGGCTTTGGAGAGTTGTCCAGATGGTTGTGTCTATGAGGGCTATGGCACATATTGAAGATAGGCAAAAAAGGAAGGGTCATTTTTTATCACTGTCCCCTTGTGATTTTCTGTCGTAGCCAGGAGTGCAACCTAACATAATTTCCGTGGGTTTATTTTTCTCTGTGAGTTATATTCTTTAGATAATGCCTTTACACCATAACAGAGTATGACAATTTAATGGAGCTAGATAAGAACTAAAACTGGGGTATGGTCTCTTGTGCAAAGTCAAGTTTCTCTCAGTTGCCCTAGTATCTTTAAAATAATGTTCTACATCCTGCTAAATATTGCTATTATTATGTATCTATGGCATGGAGTACTGAATACAGGAGGGAGGGACACAGCCAGGGTTTTCATAAAACCCAGGAAATTAATTTCTTTGAGATTGGACTGGTAAAGCTGTGGGTAGTCTTAGACATAACTGGTGGGGAGGGGGGGAGGGGTGTTCAGTTTTGATGATTTCTTTTCAGAATTTCTTGAAATACAGTTTTGTAATCTGAAAGGATCAGATTCATATCCATACCAATACATGACCATAACTAAATAAATGAAGTAACTGACACCTGATTTTGTGTGTAGTCATATTTTAAACAGCAGCGTTGTACAGCATGATCTCTCCACGACTTCAGGAATGTATGTGAAAGGGAGCAGCCAGGATACTGCAATGAGGCCATCACAAGTGTTGGATGAGACAGTTCCTCAGAGAACAGGAATATACATATTAACAATTATTTCTATACTTCATTTTAACATCCTAAGGAAACAGCCCAGAATGGCCAGTTTTATGTAGAGCTGTCTTCAAAGCAAAAACAATGAGTTGTGCTGGTTCATCATCACCAAACTTCACAATCAGGTCTGCAGAACTGATGGTGATGGCTTGCTACCTGCCCTTTAGGATCAGCTGTTGAGTCCGACTGCTAAATCTTCTAAGATCTGCTACATTTAAAATACAGGCAATTCTGGCTTGGAGATTTGTTATACACTTCTTTTAGAAGGAAATTCAGGTATGAAGGCACTCTTACCATTACTGCAGTCAAAAAGACTCTATATTGAAAAAAGGAAAACAAAAGCCCTTAGTAATAACAGTACTTTTGCAAGGAGGTAGAAGTAGTAGTAGTAGTTTTAGTTTTACCAATGAAAGACAAGTACTACTTATTTTGACAGTTTTCATATTCAGTTTCAGGTGTTAGCTGTTGCTCTTCAAAAGGAACATGAATTTGTCTGCCTGATGAAGATGATGAGCACAGAGACCTTCTATACTTTAAACCTAGACATTTTTTGTTTAAGAAGAAAGTAGGTAGAGCTCACAGTGACACATTAGGAAGGAAAGAAGTGGAACATTATGTAAAAATTACAATATTACTAACTGTGGTTAGACTGTGCTTGATGAATATCCACAGTGACTATGCATGTGATGAATAGGGATATTTCAAATCTGAAATTTTACTTTATCAATTTATTGGGGCTGAACTTCTTTCATAATTAGGAATTTCTTGCCTGCATCTTTGCATTCTTTCTAGGCATGGGGGAATCTCGTGTGAATGACACAAATTTATCATCCGTGCTGTCATGTCTATTTAAACTCCTGCAGTGAGTAGATGTCTCCCATATGGTGTAACTGTTTTGAATACTTACAACTGCTTGATGCATGCAATACCAGTTGTTTTGTTTTTTCAGCTTTTTGCCAGCACCAGGTTCTTCCATGTAATTTTAGTGATGCACCATGATTTCTGTGACCTCCTGTTGGCTGTCACTTCTGTGGTCTGATAGATCTTGTAACGAGTATAAAATATTGGAAGCAGAGTGCACTTCCCTGTGTTCATTTCATCCCATTACTTGAAGTAATATTTCTCTCCTTCTCACGAAAATAGGTAAAGTGATTCCTCCAGGGAAAAGGCGATAGTGTATGAGCAGTTGCAGCTGTAGAAGCCTTCTGGGACTAGAAGCGTTATGTAGATGTAAGATGCTGTTGATGGGTTTTTAAGAATTCAAAGTCATTGTGGATTTGTGTTTAGATGCTTGGCTGGTCTGATTAAATAAATAAATAGAATAGGTAGTCCAGGGAGAATTTATTTTCTTGTTTTCCTTGATAATCTTAGAGATGACAAATTCTGGAGAACAACTTGGTCCACTGGCATTGTCTCTAAAATTAGCTTTATCTCTAGGAAAAGTTGATCCCTTTGCTTGTTGGAATCTATCACAGAACAAGCACATGATGCATTTTCCTATCCAGAGAAATGTTTTGTATGAGAGAAAACTCAAATCTGCCCTTTAAATCTCTCATAAGAACATAATAAAAAAATAAGCTATGTTCATAGAAGATATGTATCATTTTTCTTGAGGGAACTTTGGAAGTGTTTCTTTTTCTTTTCTTGGTAGAAATCTCAAAAGAGTTTAATCATTTGTGAAAGTACATTGCTTAAAAAAAAAGATATCTTGATCATCCTCGTGTAAAAGAGTACTTTATTTTAAAGACTCAATTTGAGCATGGAACAAATTGATGAAATTGTAGTACAAAACCTTTAATGCATTATAATGATTACATTTGGAAATCATTATGTATACAAGTAGTTATTACAGAAATAACCTTCTTTGTCAAGTATTCTTGGCATGGAAGTAATCAGCATCCTATCATCCTAATTGTTTGAGAACTCTGAAATCTTTAATGAGGTTTTTTTACAGAAAGATTTCAGTCAAATGCAAATGATTCACTGAAACCCTTAATTATAAGACAAATAGTTATTTTAGTAATTTTTTTATTCACTATAATAAATGTAGCATGTTAACAGTAGATACACAGTTAACTGTTTTTCAGTTACTTTTCTCACAGTACTTTTCATTAAAGAGTCATTGTTAGACATAATGGTTGGACTGAGAATCATATGCTTGATAGATGTCAAGAAATCTGTGTCTGATATAGCTTCAAATAGTTTTTTCCTTTTGAGTGCTTGAAAAATAAATTTGTCTTCGGGTTGATAGAGATAAATATTTTTCAACAGGTATTGACAATCAAATATCATCCTTTTTCCACAGGTCTGATTACAACAACATCAAGAAAATTGGATCGAGAACAGCAAGCAGAACATTTTTTGGAGGTAAGATTAAGTAGAAAATATATGCTGAATACTTAACTGATTTTTGTAGTTTAAAATCACTTCTTCATGTTCCAGGAGAGTGGTATTCTGCCTTCTCTTCATTTATAACAGACTCACATAAAGCTGAGAATCACCTGATTATACAAAAGAAATAGAACATTTTGCGATTCAAAAAGCACAGGAGAAAAAATGAATATGCACACTTGTTTTCCTCCTGTAGTCTACTTCAGTGAAGTCTTTTATTGTAGCCCTTAAATTTGGTTTTGTATAGAATGTGAAGAGCAAAGTTGTTGGTTTTTTTTTTTAAATAGGTCAAACAAATAACCCCAACCCTGTCAGGACTTTTAGTCTCTCAGGTTAACATGCTTGAAGTTTTGCATCTTGAATCTAACATATCAAAATAAACATTTGGATGAAAGCAAACTTTGACCTTCCTCGCATTGCCTGCATCATCAGAATCAGTGAATTTTTTTTGGCTTTCATGAGCTGGGACTATTAACAACAATTTTCAAGTTAAAAATTGCCTTCTAAAAGGAGTGTCAGCCATTCTCTTGGCCCTTGTGATGAATGTTTCTCTTTTTAAGTAGCTCACAAATATTGGATGTGGAGTGATATACTTGTAAACTACTGGTTTTGCCACATGTGTTTTCTCTCACATTGCTGTACATCATGCTGTGTTTTTTTCCTTTGGGTAAAAGATCCTTGACTCTGTCCTCTTGTCTATTTGTGAAATAAGAAATTCTTGATTCCTCTTGGTACAAGTAAAAAAAAGCCATGTTGTCCCACATAATCAATCATCCCTAGGATGATTTTAGGAAATTCTCTTCAAATCCGTACAAGCTAAAAAACATCTGGACAAAATAGTTCCCAGTGGAATCACTATCTGGCAACAAAATGTAGGAAAATGTACATTTGCATATTCCATATTTATTTTTGTTTGCTAGAAATACTTAATTTTTTTTGGTTAGTGCAAAACACTGGAGAGAAAGGTTAATTATTACTGTACAGGTTTGGGTTGTGTCTTTTTTTTTCCTGATAATTCACTGTAGATTCTTACATTTCCATGCCATAAATAAATGGAGGGAAATAAAAGGATTTTTCCCTGTTTAGGATTAGTTAAGTTGGAAAGTTAGTAAAGTAATTGTGTTCCAATAGCTTCAAGCTTTCCAGTTTATACTGTCAGAATAGATCACAAATGGAATGAAAGGGGCACTGGTTTTGAAATATATCTGTTGATGAGAATCTCAGGTCTGTAAGTCTCTTCTGATTGGTGGAGCATCCTAGTGGATGACAAGTTAGCCCTGAGCCAGCAGTGTGCCAGTGTTGCCAAGAAGGCCAATGGTGTCCTGAGACACATTAAGAAAGTGTGTGGTCAGCATGGAACAGGAGGTGATCCTCCCCCTCTGCTGTGCCCTGCTGAGATCGCATCTGGAGTGTCGTGTGCAGTTCTGGGCTCCCCAGTCCGAGAAAGGCAAGGAACTACTGGAGAGGGTCCTGTGGAGGGCTGCAAAGTCCATGAGAGGACTGGAGCACCTCTCTTACAAGGAAAACCTGAGGGAGCTGGGTCTTTTTAGCCTCAAGAAGAGAAAACTGAGAGGGAATCTTATCAATGCTTGTAAGTATCTTAAGGGCTGGTGTCAGAAGGATGTGACCAGACTCCCTTCAGTGGTGCCCAATGACAGGACCAGGGTCAACATGCACAAACACAGGAAGATTATTTGAATACAAGGAAAAGCTTCTTTACTGTGAGGGTGGCAGAACACTAGAACAGGCAGCCCAGAGAGGTTGTGGAGTCTCTCTCTCTGGAGATATTCAAAATCTGCCTGGATGCAATGCTATGCAGCCTGCTCTAGGTGAAGCTGCTTTAGCAGGGAGGTTGGACTAGATGAGCTCCAGAGGTCCCTTCCAACACCAGTCATTCTGTGATTCTGTATTTCTGTGACTTATGTGTTTGCCTCAGAGACCTTAGTGAAACATGCCAAATTCACATTTTCCATGGGATGTAGGGAATTCCCGTACAAATAGGAAAGTGCTACAATTAATAGGAAAAACAAAAAAATTAGTTACTTATAGGAATTTGGCTTTAGCCATTAATACGAGTTAATGTATTCCTTCCCCTGAATTTTATCTGCTTTGCAAAAATAACCATCTGCAAGATTTTGATGACTGAAGATGTAATAAAGGGAAATTTGTGTCATAGGCTGCTCCAAGGCTTGTGAATGGAGAGTAAAGTGGAGGGGAGGCTACTTAGAAGAGAAACACCTGAGCAGGGTGTCCTGCAGAACTGGGGAAACCACATTGTAAAACCCACCCTGGAACAGTGTTCAGAAAAAGGGAACCAGACTCCAGTAGAGACACAGCCCCAGTGGCCAGATTGACCCTTTGACCAATTGAGCTGGTGATGAAACACTGACCTTTACTGCTTCCTGGGGGAGCAGATGAGCTGGGATCCAGAGCCAAGCTGGTCAAGCTGTGCTCGTTCTCATGGCAAACTGAGAAACGTTTTCTAAAATGCCTGTCTCTGTGTAATTAACCCCCTGGGGAGCCCTTAATTGCCCAGACAACCGTGGTCTCCCAGTACTACAGTGTTTCCCTTCCAGCTTCATTTTATACCCTTCTTCCAGGAGTTTGTCTGATGTAAAAGAGAGCAAACTTGGCTCCCTCTGAAAAGCTCTGATTAGTACTTGATCTCGCAACCCTTGCTCCCCTTTGACCAGTGTGTGTGTGAGGCACTGACTGACTTTTCCTAGATACAACTTTTTAATTATTTTTAATAAGCATGCCTCTTGCCTACCTGCATTTGACAGAGACATTGTACCCTGTAGGTACCTGCCAGTACTTACTTACCAAATTTCATTACTTACAGTATTTCCACCTCTTTCAGAGAAGTGTTTAGAAAAATGAAGTGAAATAAGATGGCAGATGTTAGTTATTCTTGTTGTATTTGATGCCAGTGCTTGTTTCCACTGCCTATCACAGCCGTCCGTGATGGCTTAGAGCAGCTTTTCTGGAGTTACCTGTTCCTGTCCATACCAGAGGAAACATGAATGATCAGTAAGGGCTGGATGTATATTTTTAAGGCTGCCATGCTTAGGAAAGTGAATTCCCTTGTAAGTACACAAGAATTCTGTTGCAAACTAAGTACTGAGGCCCAGGTCAGATGTGCATCTCTCCTTCCTTCCTCTTTTTGTTTTCTTTTTTGGATACATGATATACGGACCTGTGTCCTCAGGGATTTTTTAATGGTACCTGAGGCTGCTGTCACAGGGCTCCAACTTATCAAAGAGTATGTCCCAAAGTGAGGGCAGAAATATGTCTGGACCTGAACCAAAAGATGCATGAGGAAGTCAGAAATTGAGTCCCCTTTATAGTAATTGAGATTTTCTGGGTTTTTTCAGTGATATTGTTTAAGGATTTTTTGATTGTTTTGGTTTTTTGTTCTTTTTTTTTTTTTTGCTTTGGCATTTTGTGAGGAGAAGAACAAGTAGTATTTCTTCTCTCAGATTTTGCATTGATTGTGGCATTGTAAATGCTTTTTTTCATAAGTTCCCAACTTGGGGGCTTAATTTTTTGACACATTTGTAATGTCCTCCAAAGCTTCAGATTTTATTCGGTGCTTGCTATCAGGTAGAATTTTTCTGCTTAGTTTTAAAGTGGGTGTTACTGGATTTTATACAGGATGGTCTCTTTCTTTAGTGGATTCTTATTAATGGAATAGTTCTGCCTGAAATGGGAGGGAAATGACCACTTGATTACATTACTTTATCACATGAAGCAAGCCAGAAGCATTTCTTCTATTTCACAGACTTTCTCAAAGATTTTGTATTTGGGGTGAATTTTTTAAGTATCCATCTGAAAGAAGAAAGGTAATCCTGAGCATTACCTGCTTGCTTCACAAGTAAATGAAAAGATCAATGTAGTTTCAAGAGAGGTGCAACTTTTGGGTGATTTTCTTTATTCTCCTTCAATAGCAGAACACATCATTCTCTTCTTTCCTTTTTTTTCATCTTCCTTCTTCTGGATATGTCTTGTCTTCTAATAATTTCTCTGCTAACGCTTCACTTTTTCTACTCTTGTATTATGCTGATTTACTAAAAAGAGGAAGCTAGAAGTGGAGAATATTAGTGGAGTTTGAGCTATGGAAAAAAGCACAAAAAATGGTCTGGCTGCTTTTTTCTACCTACGTTTTTTGTAGATGCCTCCTAATCCTGATCTGACAGCTTTACAAACTCTGAGTTATTTTGCTACGTGATTTTATGCAAACAGCTGCTGGAGAGATGGAGATCTAATAATAAGCAGGAAAAATTAAACCATTTCAGGCAGAATCTGCACCCTTGTGTGGTGTCAGTTGATTTTGAGATGTCCAGAATATGAATAGGCCCTGGTCTGCTTTCCAGTGTACATGACAGCTTCATGGGAGAGGATTGTTGAATCCAGGCTACACTTCATTGACTTGCGCATTCAGCCTGGAAAGTGCATCTGAGCACATGCTTTCTCACCCTGAGAAGTTTTTGAATACACTGCAGCAGATGCTTTGTTACTTCCAGCACAGAAAGCCTCTGCAAAACATACCCACCACTGAGGAGTTCATCTTGCTGGAAATTACTGGGGCAAGACCTGTGTTTAGCAAAAGAACTAGGCAAAAGAGTTAAAGACTGGTGTGAAATTCTAGCAACGGTCTTTGAAACTTTTATGATGGAAGGGATGAATTATCAATAGTGAGACATGACCTCACCATCCTTTTGGAAGCAGTATATATTAAACTGGTGCTTTTAAAGTGCTGAGGCTATTTAGTTTCTCCTTGATAAGCCCATGTGGTGGAGGCTCTTGGGTCATTTAAGCAGTTTTGAAAACTTTATCCATAGTATATCTTTGTTCCTCCAAACTATGTTTAAATTTACTGCTGTAGATTTACTCAGAAATTATCTTTTAACATTTGTCATGGTGGAAAACTTGTCTATTCAAAGTGTCTCTAAAGAATAAAAGTAGTTGTTAATAAG